TACCACTATCACACGTAAACTAACAGATCATTAGCGCCTCTGAACCGTCATCATTACCATCAGCGACGGTAGCATCGACACCCTCTCCATTACCCACAACTCCCTATCACTGTCACCATTATGAGCACTGCGTCACCACCCGTGTCACCATCACCACGTCGTAATCACCATACAATTACTGTACCAGCAATGCCACGACTACAGGCATCATCAGTGTCACCCAAACTAGTGCCAGCATCTTGTGACCGGTACAGAGACAAGGACAGAAAAGATCCACCATCCTCGCCCTCAGTCTTGGGTTAAAGTCTTCCTTAGTCTCACAAGACGACGTAAACAAAAGAAAAAACATCCTCATTCCCTCGTAGTTCTTAAAAACGTAAAACAACGTCTTAAAACGAGGCTCTAAGAGGAAATGTATATGGCGGGCAGCTGTTGATATGTTCCCAGGCCTCTTGGTGACTGATGGTGGGGTCTGAGAGCCTCTCACCCGCTCCCACACTCTCAACCCTCCCTTAAAGGGGGTACTCATCCTATGTCATCATGGATAACCTGCTTTGTTATAACCTAACCTATCCTCATGTATCCTAACCTAACCTATCCAATCCTAACGTGTCCTAAATTAACCAATATTTAACAACAATTAACCTAGTTTATTCTAACATAAAGTATCCTAACTTATCCAATCGAGTCCTAAAAGTCTCCTAGCATAACCTATATTTATCTAACCTAACCTATTGTAACCTAACATAACCAAACAGCCTAACCTATCCTAGCTAACCAAAGTTTTAGTTGCTCATTTCACACACACACTATATATCACACACATATACATACATATTATATATATATATATATATATATATATATATATATATATATATATATATATATATATATATATATATGTGTGTGTATATCACGAAAATAAACACGTGAAAATAAACACGTGTCCTTCTGAAGATGTATTTAATATACGAAAGTACTTAAGGAAATTTCCTGTTTCATTTTTCCTCCGTGGTCTGACATTGTCATATATATATATATATATATATATATATATATATATATATATATATATATATAGGGGATACCACCTCTGGTGCAATTATAGGGACCTACAGCCTCAGAGAACCTGTATATATATATATATATTATATATAATATATAATATATATTATATATATATATATATATATATATATATATGTCGTACCTAGTAGCCAGAACGCACTTCTCAGCCTACTATGCAAGGCCCGATTTGTCTAATAAGCCAAGTTTTCATGAATTAATATATTTTCCTTAATTTTTTCTTATGAAATGATAAAGCTTCCCATTTCATTATGTATGAGGTAAATTTTTTTTATTGGAGTTAAAATTAAAGTAGATATATGACCGAACCTAACCAACCCTACCTAACCTAACCTAACCTATCTGTATAGGTTAGGTTAGGTTAGGTAGCCGAAAAAGTTAGGTTAGGTTAGGTTAGGTAGGTTAGGTAGTCGAAAAACAATTAATTCATGAAAACTTGGCTTATTAGGCAAATCGGGCCTTGCATATTAGGCTGAGAAGTGCGTTCTGGCTACTAAGTACGACATATATATATATATATATATATATATATATATATATATATATATATATATATATATATATATATATATATATATATATATATATATATATATATATAAGAAGACTGCCAAGCAAGAGAGAGAGTCTGGAGATCAGGAGGAGGTGAAGACTGTGGCGGAGGTGTACGGCCGCCCCCACAGAGCAACAACGAGGCTATAAACCATTATGTACACAGCGGTTACCTAGCCTGGCGTTAGACAAGCACGACCCGACATTATCTGATCTAGTCAATATCTGTTTAAAACACGTGACAACATCCTTGACAGCCGGTTGACAAGTCCTGGTCGTTAGTGTCATTTTAATGTGGGGTGGTTCTTGACTCTTTTTAAATCACCCTTTCCCTACTGCCTATTCGTCTCCTCTTTCAACCTTTTACTCTCACTTTCTGAAGTTCTTTCTCTCTCGCTGTCTTTCCCTTTCAATCTCCTCACAACCACTTCTCCTCTCAGCGTCTGCCTTTCACAACCTCTACTTCTCTCCACCACCCCCCTTCCTGTTCTCTCACCTTCCCTGCTCAACAACCCTGCCTCCCCTCGCATCCCCATGTCCCTCAGAGCAAGAGACAGTGCCAAAGTGAGTTAGTGCCAAGGTGAGATAGCGCCACGATGAGAGATAGTTCCACGGTGATACAGTGCCAAGTTGAGAGACAGTTCCACGGTGGTACAGTGCCAAGTTGAGAGACAGTTCCACAGTGATACAGTGCCAAGTTGAGAGACAGTTCCACGGTGATACAGTGCCAAGTTGAGAGATAGTTCCACGGTGATACAGTGCCAAGTTGAGAGATAGTTCCACGGTGATACAGTGCCAAGTTGAGAGACAGTTCCACGGTGGTACAGTGCCAAGTTGAGAGACAGTTCCACGGTGATAACAGTGCCAAGTTGAGAGACAGTTCCACGGTGATACAGTGCCAAGGTGAGGCAGCGCCACTGTGATGTACCGTCTGCATCATCACCGGGGGTCAAGTTAGTGCCAAAAACACCACCTCTGAGCAGGAAAAAATGACTGTCGGTGGTATTTATCGCAGGAAGACTCTGCACCATTGCACGGCACGCTGCAGGGGCCGCCGCTCTTGCACGCCCTGCCGGCACCACCACCTTGGACCTGAGTCAGGGCACTATCCTCCTCCTCCTCCTCCTCCTCCTCCCATCCGCTCCTTAGCAAAATAATTTCTTAGCGAGTTTGCTCCCGCTCTCTTTATGTTCTTGATCTTTCATCACCTGCGACCTCGTTGTAAATATACAGAGATACGTACCCTTGGCTTTTAGCACCCCGCTCCGTGTAATCCTTGTGGCGGGGAGACTGGTGGTCCCTGTCTCCCCTTGTGGTGGGGAGACTGGTGGTCCCTGTCTCCCCTTGTGGTGGGGAGACTGGTGGCCCCTGTCTCCCCTTGTGGTGGGGAGACTGGTGGTCCCTGTCTCCCCTTGTGGTGGGGAGACTGGTGGTCCCTGTCTCCCCTTGTGGTGGGGAGACTGCTGTTCTCCGTCTCCCCTTGTGGTGGGGAGACTGGTGGTCCCTGTCTCCCCTTGTGGTGGGGAGACTGCTGTTCTCCGTCTCCCCTTGTGGTGGGGAGACTGGTGGTCCCTGTCTCCCCTTGTGGTGGGGAGACTGCTGTTCTCCGTCTCCCCTTGTGGTGGGGAGACTGGTGGTCCCTGTCTCCCCTTGTGGTGGGGAGACTGCTGTTCTCCGTCTCCCCTTGTGGTGGGGAGACTGGTGGTCCCTGTCTCCCCTTGTGGTGGGGAGACTGCTGTTCCTGTCTCCCCTTGTGGTGGGGAGACTGCTGTTCCTGTCTCCCCTTGTGGTGGGGAGACTGGTGGTCCCTGCCTCCCCTTGTGGTGGGGAGACTGCTGTTCCTGTCTCCCCTTGTGGTGGGGAGACTGCTGTTCCTGTCTCCCCTTGTGGTGGGGAGACTGGTGGTCCCTGTCTCCCCCTTGTGGTGGGGAGACTGCTGTTCCTGTCTCCCCTTGTGGTGGGGAGACTGCTGTTCCTGTCTCCCCTTGTGGTGGGGAGAGTGTGGCTGCTCCTCCCCGTCTCAACATGCTTCCCCTTGTTAGCTCTTATTCTAACTTCCCCTCACTCTTCTCTGGGAAACAAAATACAATACTGCCTCTCATTCGCCATTGAAGAAAAACAAAATCTGGTACGTTTGGTCGGCAAACGTTTTGACTTTTGTCGACAAAATCGGTAAAATAACCCCTCTCTTCCCCCACCATTTTGATTCTTGGCCTGACTCTCCCCTCGGCGCTTCTCCCCTCCCAGTCAGCTGAGAGGCCCGTCATAACCAAGGCCACAAAGAAACAAACAAAGTGAGTAGTTCGTCGTGAGGTCGGGAGAGACGGTGTGGGCCGCGAGCACCACCGAGGCCCTTGTTATTTATAGCGCCTCTCACCCATGCCAAGACCAGGTGCCAGGCCCGCCAGCCCCACCCCAGGCCCGCCAGCCCCACCCCAGGCCAGCGAGCAGCCCTACCTAGGGCTGTCAGCCCCACCCCAGGCCCGCCAGCCCCACCCCAGGCCCGCCAGCCCCACCCCAGGCCCGCCAGCCCCACCCCAGGCCAGCCAGCCCCACCCCAGGCCAGCCAGCCCCACCCCAGGCCAGCCAGCCCCACCCCAGGCCAGCCAGCCCCACCCCAGGCCCGCCACCAGCCCTACCTAGGGCTGTCAGCCCCACCCCAGGCCAGTTTGAAGCCCTACCCAGGGCCGCCAGCCCCAACACTGGCCCCAACATCCACCTTCCTTCCCCCACCAACACCTTTTCTCCAACTTCCGCACTACACCAACTCATTCCTCACCCACGACAGCCCCATCCTCTCCCCTCACCTCTCACCCACGACAGCCCCATCCTCTCCCCTCACCTCTCACCCACGACAGACCCATCCTCTCCCCTCACCCCTCACCCACGACAGACCCATCCTCTCCCCTCACCCCTCACCCACGACAGTCCCATCCTCTCCCCTCACCTCTCACCCACGACAGCCCCATCTTCTCCCCTCATCAACTCTCTCATTCTTCAATGTTTGTAAAATGTAAGTAATTTACACATGTCAGCAGCTGTTGACTTAAGACTATGTGGGGGTAATTTGACTAAGCCATTTTCAGACAAATGGTCACCTTCAAAGATGTTCTGCTCATTCTCTTGATTTGTTTCCCTCACACTGAGGAGTTGCTCCCTACATCCCGATGAGGGAGAGAGAGAGAGAGAGAGAGAGAGAGAGAGAGAGAGAGAGAGAGAGAGAGAGAGAGAGAGAGAGAGAGAGAGAGAGAGAGAGAGAGAGCTGCACCAGGATGCATTACATCAGCTCTTAAGAGCGACGCATCACTCACTACAGGACCTTGTCTTAATAAGTTTTATTTCTTCTAGTATACACGACGTCATCGTAAGCCTTCAACACACGTCCTGCGAGCCACAGTGGGTGGCTCCACGGACACAAGACAGGTGGCTTGGAGACGCAGGAGGCCTGGCTTGGAGACGCAGGAGGCCTGGCTTGGAGACGCAGGGGGCCTGGCTTGGAGACGCAGGAGGCCTGGCTTGGAGACGCAGGAGGTCTGGCTTGGAGACGCAGGAGGTCTGGCTTGGAGACGCAGGAGGCCTGGCTTGGAGACGCAGGAGGTCTGGCTTGGAGACGCAGGAGGCCTGGCTTGGAGACGCAGGAGGTCTGGCTTGGAGACGCAGGAGGTCTGGCTTGGAGACGCAGGAGGCCTGGCTTGGAGACGCAGGAGGTCTGGCTTGGAGACGCAGGAGGTCTGGCTTGGAGACGCAGGAGGCCTGGCTTGGAGACGCAGGAGGTCTGGCTTGGAGACGCAGGAGGTCTGGCTTGGAGACGCAGGAGGCCTGGCTTGGAGACGCAGGAGGTCTGGCTTGGAGACGCAGGAGGTCTGGCTTGGAGACGCAGGAGGCCTGGCTTGGAGACGCAGGGGGTCTGGCTTGGAGACGCAGGAGGCCTGGCTTGGAGACGCAGGAGGTCTGGTTTGGAGACGCAGGAGGCCTGGCTTGGAGACGCAGGAGGTCTGGCTTGGAGACGCAGGAGGTCTGGCTTGGAGACGCAGGGGGGCCTGGCTTGGAGACGCAGGAGGCCTGGCTTGGAGACGCAGGGGGGCCTGGCTTGGAGACGCAGGAGGCCTGGCTTGGAGACGCATAAGGCGTTGAAGATGCCAATACCCCTTTCCAGGTATGTACTCAGCCACACACTACAGCCTTGTGGTTTAAGAGTAGAACAACAGAACAAACCCTAATTTTATGATAGAACAACTGAACGAACCCAAACGTTATGGCAGAACAACTAAACGAACCCAAAACGTTATGGTAGAACAACTGAACAAACCCAAAACGTTATGACAGAACAACTGAACGAACCCAAACGTTATGGCAGAACAACTAAACGAACCCAAAACGTTATGGTAGAACAACTGAACAAACCCAAAACGTTATGACAGAACAACTGAACGAACCCAAACGTTATGGTAGAACAACTAAACGAACCCAAAACGTTATGACAGAACAACTGAACAAACCCAAAACGTTATGACAGAACAACTGAACGAACCCAAAACGTTACGGTAGAACAACTGAACGAACCCAAAACGTTATGGTAGAACAACTGAACGAACCCAAAACGTTATGGTAGAACAACTGAACGAACCCAAAACGTTATGGTAGAACAACTGAACGCAACATAACATCCTGGTGTAAAACTGAACACGTCCCAACTTGCCTGCCTCTGAACAAATATCACCCTACTCCGAACACAGACCCCTGACACCCCCTCTCCCTGACTCCTGACACCCCCCCCCTGACTCCTGACACTGCTCCCCCCCCCGACACCATCACCCTGACTCCTGACACCCCCCCCCTGACTCCTGACACCCCCTCTCCCTGACTCCTGACACCCCCCCTGACTCCTGACACTGCTCCCCCCCCCGACACCATCACCCTGACTCCTGACACCCCCCCTGACTCCTGACACCCCCTCTCCCTGACTCCTGACACCCCCCCCCTGACTCCTGACACCCCTTCCCCTGACTCCTGACACTGCTCCCCCCCCGACACCATCACCCTGACTCCTGACACCCCCCCTGACTCCTGACACTGCTCCCCCCCCCCGACACCATTACCCTGACTCCTGACACTGCTCCCCCCCCCCGACACCATTACCCTGACTCCTGACACTGCTCCCCACCCCCGACACCATCACCCTGACTCCTGACACTCCTCCTTCCCCCCCCCTGACTCCTGACACTGCTCCCCCCCGACACCATCACCCTGACTCCTGACACTGCTCCTTCCCCCCCTGACTCCTGACACTGCTCCCCCCCCCCTGACACCATCACCCTGACTCCTGACACCCCTCACCCCCCCTGACACTGCTCCCCCCCCGACACCATCACCCTGACTCCTGACACCCCTCCCCCCCCTGACACCCCTCCCCCCCCCGACACCATCACCCTGACTCCTGACACCCCTGCCCCCCCCGACACCATCACCCTGACTCCTGACACCCCTCCCCCCCCGACACCATCACCCTGACTCCTGACACCCCTCCCCTCCCCCCCCTACATGCTGGCAGCTTGACAGTGTGCCAGGGCTGGCGCTCAGAGGCACCTCGCTACAGAAAACACTCAATAAAATGAGACTATTGCACTGTTCCCGCTGTGTGTACACCTCCTCGGGTACCTATGTGTACATGCACTCAGCGTGTGTATGCGTACATGTACTCAGCGTGTGTATGCGTACATGTACTCAGCGTGTGTATGCGTACATGTGTTTGTGGACGCCAAGTGTACATTGTTTTGCCACTGTGTACGTGGATGAGACACATTTGTGTGTACATGGACGAAGGAGCACTGTGTGTACATGGATGAAGTACCAGTGTGTATATGGGTGAAGTGCCAGTGTGTACATGGATGAAGTGCCAGTGTGTACATGGATGAAGTACCAGTGTGTACATGGGTGAAGTGCCAGTGTGTACATGGATGAAGTGCCAGTGTGTACATGGATGACGTACCAGTGTGTACATGGATGAAGTACCAGTGTGTACATGGATGAAGTACTAGTGTGTACATGGATGAAGTGCCAGTGTGTACATGGATGACGTACCAGTGTGTACATGGATGAAGTACCAGTGTGTCCATGGATAAAGTACCAGTGTGTACATGGATGAAGTACCAGTGTGTACATGGATGACGTACCAGTGTGTACATGGGTGAAGTGCCAGTGTGTACATGGATGAAGTGCCAGTGTGTACATGGATGAAGTACCAGTGTGTACATGGGTGAAGTGCCAGTGTGTACATGGATGAAGTGCCAGTGTGTACATGGATGACGTACCAGTGTGTACATAGATGAAGTACCAGTGTGTACATGGATGAGTACCAGTGTGAACATGGATGAAGTACCAGTGTGTACATGGATGACGTACCAGTGTGTACATGGATGAAGTACCAGTGTGTACATATATAAGGAGTTACAGCGAAAACATTTCTGAGAAACAGATGTGTACAAAGTATGTGCACATGTGAGAGTGCACATGTGAGAGACACATTGCAAACACATTACTGTGTTCATACGTACATGATCTACGTACATGATCTACGTACATGATCTACGTACATGATCTACGTATATGATCTACGTACATGATCTTCGTACATGATCTACGTACATGATCTACGTACATGATCTACGTACATGATCTTCGTACATGATCTACGTACGTGCTCGGCGTGCACATGACCTGAACACAGTGCTTGCTGGTGGGCATCTACCATTAAAGCTCTCCAAACTGCTGCCAAATTACTTAACTATGTGATAAAGACTAAACAGAACAATTCTTTCCAAAAGACGCCTCAAGCCACTCAATTTTAAAAGATTGCAAATAAACAACAGTAAACCTAGGAACAAAGACGAAGGTAAACCCCAGGAGCAAAGACCAAGGTAAACCCCAGGAACAAAGATGAAGGTAAACCCCAGGAGCAAAGACCAAGGTAAACCCCAGGAACAAATATGAAGGTAAACCCCAGGAGCAAAGACCAAGGTAAACCCCAGGAACAAAGATGAAGGTAAACCCAAGAACAAAGATAAAGGTAAACACCAGGAGCAAAGATCAAGGTAAACCCCAGGAACAAAGATGAAGGTAAACCCAAGAACAAAGACCAATGTAAACCCAAGAACAAAGACCAATGTAAACCCAAGAACAAAGACCAATGTAAACCCAAGAACAAAGACCAATGTAAACCCAAGAACAAAGACCAAGGTAAACCTATGAACAAATACCAAGGTAAACCTAGGAACAAAGACCAAGGTAAACCTATGAACAAAGATGAGGGTAAACCTAGAGAGCAACTGACAAGACTGTAAACTGCGAATTAGAATAAAGCAATGAGTTAAACAAGACATATCTATCATACATAATAAGGCCCGTACATGTGAGTTCTATTACAAGAGTTAACGTAAGTTCTACTGCTTACAATAGAACATTATTTAAGCACCCAACTGACAGTAATTATACATCTACGCATCCATAATCACAGGACGTCTGTATGTCGACAGTAAAATTATACATCCCTACGTCTAACGTCTGCGTCTAACGAGTCACTACGGAAAAGTTTATGTTTCCTGCCATTAAAAAAACCTTAGTTAACTAACGACACTGTTAGCAGCAAACACCCTGATCAAAATAACACCAAGATAAACTAGCTAAATGGAAACAAGTTTCATACAAACTAAGAAACAAACAAACAAACAAGACGTGCATGCTTCAAACAGGCAAACCAAGCTTGCATAAACAACATTTCAAACAACTTCTTAAACCACCAAGAATAACGTATATAAAATAATTATATATCATCTGAGAACCTCATTTTTCGATGTATTCTTATTTCGTTTAAATACAAACTATTCATCCTGTGTGAATTTTGTCCCTGCGCTCTTTTCCGCGTTCACAGGTGTTTGCCCAATCGTCACGACTGCTGTCGTCATCCAAAATTCATGTGAGCGTTCGCGTAAGTCATAAAAGGAAATGGGGAGCGTTCGCATGTTTACATGATCGTGGCGTTCGCGTAACTCGTCCGCAAAATCCAGAGCTGGCAGTCCCAAATACACCTGGCGACAGGCGCCCCCCCCCCCCTTCAACACCTCCCCCTGACGCCCCCGTAATCCAAGATACACTAACACCTCCTAACCAGCGCTTACCTGTCGCTTAAGTGGCCGCTAAGTGTCTCTCAGGTGGTCATTAAGTGTCACCAGCCACTTAGTGAAGGATCAGCGGGCTGTCGATCCTAATTAAGAACGGCGGATCTAACACCGGAGAGAAAAATTCAAATAGAATCTGGTATTAATAGTTGCGGAGCAGGGTATTGTTGCCTGCGAACACCCGCACGACGGTATGGAGGGTAGACATACTCTCGAAATCGACTTCAGGTAAACCACCTGCCTACCTCGTGTCTACCTTGAGATGCAACCCGTCCTCGACTCAAGTCTATTGCATCCAGCGGTCGACCCCCGCAGACGCATTCATAAATTTTAACTTGCTCTTCATTCAAAACGGGAATTTTTTCAAATATAAATTAATATAATATATTGGCATATTGTGCATATATGGGCATAGGTTAGGTTAGGTTAGGTGTTTAGGTTCTGTTGGCGATTATTTGTATTTGTAGTACGTGGGTGAAGCATTTATAGAATCGTCGTTCGAACAGAGGACGTGAGAGAAGCACTTGTTCCGGTAGTGTTCGGACGTCATCAGTTGAGAGTCGTGTGTAAACCGCTTTTCATTCATAAGCAGCGGGATTGGCGGCTGGATTAACGAGCTTGGATCTTTGTATTCGAGGATGGGCTGCCATTCACAGCCCGTCCTCCAAACAAAGACCCAAAAGTGATTCCATGCACCCGCCAAACCCCCAGCTGTTTATGAATGAAAAACAGTTTACACACGACTCACAACTGCTGACGTTCGAACACTTCCGGAACAAGTGCTTCACTGACGAATTATGTTCGAACCACAACGCTGTAAATGCTTCACCCATGTACTACAAATACAAATAATCGCCAACAGAACCTAAATACCTAACTCAACCAGTGTCTAAATATGCACAGTATGCTAATAAATAATAATATTAATTTATACTTGAGAAAATTCCTGT